TTCCTTCCTTCCTTCCTTCCTTCCTTCCTTCCTTCCTTCCTTCCTTCCCTTTTTAAAAATATAAACCTCATGACTGAAGAAGCTGTGCGTTCCTGATATGTCATGGGGTGACATCAGGAACAATGTAGATTTGGATAACTATTGTAACTATATGATATGCCTAACTTTGAAGATCTTCTCCTACTTCTGCATCTCCAGCAGCATAAATCTTTTGATGTTGAATATGATGTTTTGGTTGTAGTAGGCAAGAATGCTTGGCTTAATCGGTCAGTTCAGAGAGGGCCAGTTGGATGAAATATGAGAGAAATTTATCCCTAGGGCATCCTGGACACAATATTGGATCTTTCCCTACATTCTCCTATAGTTCAAAGATCTTAGGAGTTGAACAGTGGACTTGGGAGCCTTCCGAATTCTGCTCACTGTACTATTAGACATTGTATTATTGCACAGGCTTCGATTCTGCAGAATCTGACCATTTTGCACGGGAGTGTCCTCCCAACACCCTACAGAACATCAGTAAAGGACCACAGTTGGGAGGGGAGATATATTTTACCTCATCTACTCCTGAGCAGGCTCAAGTTTGTGTATCCATTCATTAGATTTTTTAACCCGTTTTTATCTCTTTATAAGTAACTCAAGATGGTGAAGCTTGCAAGCAGGCAGGCACATCATGGAGGTGCAAGCAAGGGAAAATTGGAGTGAGCTGCTGAAGTCTTTGAGATGAGTATGAGGCTTGTGATGAACTATCTCTCTGGAATAGATGTACTTGGAAAAAATGGCTGGAAAATTCTGAGGATGGAAACAAGTGAAGGACTCACAAAAGATCTTGGTCTATGGAAATCTTAGTGTATCTAAAATAACTGGATTGTATAAGTTACATGCATCTGAGAAATCATTTGCTAATATGAACCAGTTTTTATATCAGGACACTATCATTACCACTGTTAGAGTTACTGAAGACCCTCATAGAGTCTAGAGTCCAGACTATACGAATCCAGATGAGGGTGTAGAGCTCCACCTAGTGCTGAGATGGAATCATTTGTTAGAATATCTGGTAGAAGAGAAAATAATTTTCCAGTTTTTATTGTGTTGTTATTGTGTGGTATTTTTTTATAGCCACCCACACCCAGACCTAGAGTACAGTATTTGATCTGGTAAATTTACGAAGCTAAATAATACAGAACACATCATGAGACAAAAATTACAGGGGATGTTCATGTTGTCATAAGTGCCTCCTTCAATAACAGATTTCAGAATATGTTTCCTATTTATCTGATTTTTATCCCACCTTTATTATTATTTATAAATAGCTTAAGGTGGCAAGCATATATAATACTCTTTCTTCCTCCTATTTTCCCCACAACAACAACCCTGAGAGAGAGTGACTGGCCCAAAGTCATCCAGCCACTTTTTTTTTTTGGTGCCTAAGATGGGACCAGAACTCATTGCCACCTGATTCCTTGCTAAGCAATTAATGTAATTAGCATTAATTGACAAGAAAAGATAATTTACAGTAATTATTTTGGTATTGGTGTGCTTATTTTTTTTAAAAAAAAATTATTGTTCCTCAATGATGAGGGCAGGGGTGGGATTCTACCGGTTCTGTCCAATTCTGTAGAACCGGTTGCTCTGAAGAGCAGCAAACAGAGAGCATGCATAGAACTGGTTCTATGTCTGCTGCTGTTTTGGCCTGCCTGCTTGCCTGGGCTCTCACCTGACCTTTATTTCCTGCGTTTTCAACCACAGCTGCTTTGTGCGAGATAGCTGTGGTTGAAAAAGCAGAAAAAAGGGGTTTTTCAACCGCTGCGCACCTGCGCGCAGCACTGCTCAGCTGTCTAGGCAGCTATACATGAACAAAATGTAAAATCACTGAACCAGTAGTTACACCAGTCGGATCCCACCCCCGGACGAGGGGATTAATGGTTAATTATATGTTCAGATGACTGAACTGTCTCAGAGAGGGGAATTTATGGGGATCAAAATGCTGTTTGAACTCCCATTTCCTAGAATTTTTTTCGCAATTGGCCATGCTGGATAAGATTGGGAGAAATTACAATTCAGCAAAACATGAAGACTGCCGCTGCATTTAATTGTGCAGCTTTGGGGCAATGTAAAATTAAAACTAAGGAGGAGGAGGAGGTTTCCAATGCAATCCTAAAATGCTAGTCTTCAAGACAATAATTAGGTCATTGCAGCAACAAAATTGTAGAGGCAATCCTTGACTTACAACAGTTCATTTAGTGACTGTTTGAAGTTACCACGACACTGAAAAAAAGTGACTTATGATCCTTTTTCACACTTATGACTGTTACAGCATCCCCATGGTCACGTGATCAAAATTCAGATAGTGTAATCAGCAGTATCCTGGAGTCATGTGATTCACTTTTGCAACCTTCTGACAAGCAAAATCAATGAGGAAGCCAGGTTCACGTAACACCTGTGTGACTGACTTAACAACTGCAGTGATTCACTTAATAACGGTAGCGAGAAAAGCCATAAAGTGGGTCAAAATTCGCTTAACAATTGTTTCACTTAGCAACAGACATTTTGGGCTCAGTTGTAGTCATAGGTCAAGGACTACCTGTAAAAAGCAAAGGGTCTGGATTTGCTGTTACAGTTAATCTTCAATTTACAATCACAATTGAGCCCAAAATTTCCACTGCTAAGCAAGACAGTTATGAAGTGAGTTTGGACCCATTTTACAATAGCAATAGCACTTAGACTTTACATACCGCTTCACAGTGCTTTACAGTCCCTCTCTAAGCAGTTTACAGAGTCAGCTTATTGCCCCTAACAATTTTGGGTCCTCATTTTAGGGACCTCAGAAGGATAGAAGGCTGAGTCAACCTTGAGCCTGATGGGATTTGAACTGCCAAACTGCTGACAGCCAGCAGTCAGCAGAAGCAGCCTGCAGTACTGCACTCTAACCACTGCTCCACCAAGGCCTTTCCTGCCACAGTTGTTAAGTGAATCACTGCTGTTTGTCACACGGTTGTTAGGTGAATCTGGTTTTCCCTATTGACTTTTTATTTATTTTATTTTATTTATTTATTTCTCAAGCAAGTATTAGATAACAAGTGTAAGTATAAACATGGTGATGATTACATGAAATGGATGCGAACAAAAAAAGAAACAATAGGACAGGGACGATAGGCACGTTGGTGTGCTTATGCACGCCCCCTACAGACCTCTTAGGAAAGGGGTGAGGTCAATAGTAGACAGTCTAAGGTTAAAGTTTTGGGGGTTTGCTTGTCAGAAAGGTCACAAAAGGGGATCACATAACTCTGGTTGCCAAGCATCTAAATCTTGATCAAGTGATTTGGGGGATGTTGCAAATGATTGTAAGTGTGACAAATGGTCATAATGCCTTGCTCCTCTTGTATGGCTAAAAAGATGGCTAATCCATGTAGAGCATTGTCCAGGGGATTGCTGCCAATACAAGCCCCTTCTTGGGGCTGGCCTCTTTTCCTAGTCAGCTACATGAAGCACAGCGGTATTTCTCTCTTTCATTCCGCCTGTGTTTGTGTGCATTCAGCTTATGCTGACTTTTATGAGCCAATAATAAACTCCAGACAACATTTGTAATGTTTCATCCCGCCAATATGTCTTCAGGTCAACATTTGCCAAGACTAGCTAAAATAACATATTTTAGAAGAACTAATAAAATGCTACATAAAACAATTCCTTGAAAATACATCACTCTCGTTCTTTTAATACAACCTTATCCTTCTTCTTTCTTTGTTTCTGGGTGAGCAGATCTCAGAAACTGATGTATGCCAATTTGGATATGTCTGCCTGTCATCGTCCATTAAGGAAATGTCAAGGGAAAAGAAAAAAGAAACAAGTAGCAGTAAACCTTCTAGACTTCTAAGGATTACTCATCGAAGTCATTCATGGTTTTCTGCCCTCTTATATGAATATGTAACTCACCCAGAAGATAATCTCTTTCACAGGTATTCTCTGAAAGCATCACACTCTCTATATTTGTATTCCTGATCTTCTACAACAGATCTGCTCTTCTGTGACAAAAATTTGATTTAGATATGTAACATGAGAATTTCTCTTGTTGCATGTTATCAGAATGCCATCACAAAATGAAAAAGAGAGGTGTTTCTTCTTGTGGGGGCACTGAGACTGCGGGATTGCTCCAGGCGAGAAGGGACAACTTGCCATGGCCAACTGTTGCCATGCAACAATCTAACCATTCAGTTTAATCATTTAAAATAAATAAAAACATTATTTTAAATTGTTTTCATTCACATTTCATTCTGTCCTTCCCTTTGCATCCTTTCTTTAATGATTCTATTATTAAAGAAATGAATCATTCCTTTGATATTAGTATAACTCTTGTCCTTGCAGTCAGTTGTCCTGCTGTGAATTGGGGGTAGTAAGTTGTCCTGTGGCAAGTTGGCCCTGGTGAGTTGGGCATAGTAAGTTGTCCTGTGGCAAGTTGGCCCTGGTGAGTTGTCCTGTGGCAAGTTGGCCATGGCCCAAATGTAAGAATTCAGTAGTACAGGCTAACTCACTGCTCACTCCAGGAGTCTGATCCTGACCGGCTCACAGTTGACCCATCCTTCCATCCTTCTGAGGTCAGTAAAATGAGGACCCAATTGTTGAGGGCAATGTGCTGACTCTGTAGGCTATGCCTTGAAGGAAGACAATAGGAGACCAGTGCATTTGAGTTCTTTGGAGCAATGCATAGGACTCAATATGATGTCACCCTGATGTGCAATTTCAGGAAAAGGCACCCCTGGAAAAGGATGAAAGTAAGATACAGACTAAAGAAACATGGTCATCCCTTTTTGTAAAGTTCTACTTCAGGTGACAAAAGCTATGAATGTTTCCTGGAATCCCAACTACTTTATAAAACAATGACATGAAGTTTAGTTGTTTTATTTACAGAAGAACCTAGCAAAGCCATTGTACTTTATTGAAGATGAACTCTAACTTGACAGATATTCATTGCATTGTGGTATGCATCTTCCATATGTGCTTCTTATTAGGAAGTCCAATTGTATCAATAGTTCCTTCATCCAGGTGAATAAAGATGCAATTTATGGGATTTTTACATAAAAACATTCCTCGGTGTACCTATGAGCCTAGATACATCAAATACATCTTTAAAATTGGCCTTGATCAAAGAAGAACCTAAAAATACATTGATGCAATAGATGACAGTGAGCATTAAGTAACTGATCAGTAAGATACACACCACACGACAGGGCTGAGGCACTTAGTTCCATATTATTTTATAGGATGTGCTGCAAAACTGTCTTAAGCACACTCAACCCCAGCATCTTCACTGTGGCTGCAGTTGTTTTCACCCCATTCACGTTTATTGCACAAATAAATGGAGATTTCATTTCCTGAACATTGTACATCATCCAGCCAGATTTGTCCAGATCCTGATGAGCCAAAACACATAAGCAGAGATATAATGAGTGAATATATACGTTGTTTCCAAGGTGAGAAAACAGATTCTGTTGACGTTATTTTGCTACGAGATCGGATTGTACAAATATGAGGGATTATTGAAGGAACCATATTCCCTTTCGCTGTTCTCTCAGATGTCTAAAATTCCCCTCTAGAACAGAGGTCTCCAGCACTGGCTGGAGAATACTGGGAGTTGAAATCCACAAGTCTTAAAGTTGCCAAGTTTGGGGACTCCTGCTCTAGAACAAAGGTCCAGAGCAAAGATGCTCCCTTGCCATGTTTCAGAAAGAAAGAAAGAAAGAAAGAAAGAAAGAAAGAAAGAAAGAAAGAAAGAAAGAAAGAAAGAAAGAAAGAAAGAAAGAAA